TTCCGCAACAAATCAACAAGAATCATTACAGTAAATATTCGTATAGTGAAAAGGTCTTGGTACAAATCATGATAATGAAAATACAACTAATATAAATTCGGGGAAAAAAAGAGAAGAAAACAAAAGGAAATAAATATTGCAATCACTGAAGAACATATGTTTTCTCATCTGAAAGAGTTCAACCTATTCTTTAATATAATCTTCCCACATTTTATGAACAATCTCTTCTCGATAATCTTACATTTTCGAATCAGACGATCGAGAAGATGAAGCGATGTTGTTACCCTGAGCCAGTAGTTCGTCACTTTCATCAATAACCATATCATCATTTTCATTGAATATTCCATCACTACTTTGGTGTTCACGTAAAAAATTATGCAATACAGCGCAAGCAATTACTATTTTCACTTGCATGTCACATTCATAGTTGTCCATGCCTTGTCTTAGTATTCTTAATCTATTTTTCCATGCACCAAAAGTTCTTTCAATTACATTGCACAGAGAAGTATGTTTATAGTTAAATAGCTCTTTTCCATTCTTAGGCTCTCTTTCACTTCCTCGGTAGTCCTGCAAATGATAGCGCATTCCAATGAATGGAGCTAAAAATCCTCTTGTGTTCCGTAGACCAGCATCAACAACGTAATATTTATCTACCAAAATAAAATAAATGCAATTCATATTTTATTTAGTAGCTAGTTCATTAAGACTAACTGTAATAAAGGAATGTATGAAATCAAAAGAATGCATGTAGAAGGGAGCTAATTGAATTGGTTGGTGTCAATAAATATATTATTTTTGTAAAATAAAAAGTTAAGGGTAAAAATTGAATTTCTAAAACTTTCCAAATAATGAAATTTGGCCCAAATACTAATTTTTTCTAGTATTTGGGAATTTGGAAAATTTGCCAAAACAATTTGCCAAATAATAAAAAAGTGTATGGACAAACAAAATTTGCCAAGTTTTACTTGCAAAATTTATGACTAGTCCAAAATTGAGTTGGATTTATCTTTATCGTTCTAAAAATAAGTTAGATTTTTCCTTATTGACTAATGGCATAAGCTTAGTCTCTAATGATAATGTTTAGCACTCAATGATGCAACATGTTTAATATATGAGTTTTTTTTTCTAAAAAAGGGTAATCGAGCTTGCCAAAAATCTTATTTCTACAATTGATAAGTCACCGGGTTATTGCCTAATATATTTATTCTTTATAATAGAAATTTTAAAACCGTAAAAGGATGTGTGAATTGCTACGACTCCTCTCATTTCCATTGACTATGCGAATGGCCGGTCCAAATTTTCGATAAACTTTAAAGAACAAGGTAAATGCTTTGATAATAACATCATGTCTTTATTTTTCTTTTGTTATGCTTGATTGGAGGATAATAGAGCTTGCACTTCTATCAATTTAATCCCTATTAAAATTTGATGCAATATAAGTATTTAAATAAGGAAAAATAACTTAAATACACAACTATAATTTTTATATTCTCCAATTTTCCCTATTTTTTTTTAAATATTATATAATTCCTTTTTTTTTTTAATTTTAGTGTAAGTTTTTAGATACATTACATTCTCTCTCTTATAATACACATTTACCCATTTTAATGCCT